TCTGAAATGCAAAAGGATAGCCAGGGATCTTTAGTCAAAATCGGCCAATACTTATAGAAAATCCCAATAATGTCATCAAAAGCTATATTAAATGTAGATGTAAAGATGGGTGTTGTGCCTCTACCCACCTCTCTTGTGCTGATATTATATTTTGCTTTCTTCATCTTGGGGACATGAGTATTATCCAGTAGATCTAGGATCATATGATGCTCATAGGTATTGGGCTCATATTCAGAATACACAGTTAGTTTTTTATCTATTATATATATATTTGTACTTTAAGTGTTACTTTAATATTTTAGGAGCGCACATATTTTTCCAAACTTTTTGAGCTTACACTCATTTCAGGTCGCTTGTAGTTATATGTTGTAGCCCATTTTATTGTTTTATATTAATTACACCTTCTTATCAGTTTTCTAGTATTGTTTTCACATTAATATACAAGCGCTATCAGGTGTATTGTTAGGCCATTTTTATCTATACCCCTAATTGGGTTTTTTTTTTTTTTTTGACAATGAATCTCAACAGTATTAATAATAGGCTTGATAGAAGAATCAATCTCTTAAAAGAAAGCGATCAAGACACTGTCGAGACCATTCCAGTTATTGAAACTAATATACATAAATTATTTTTTGAATTAGAAAAAACACTTAAAACCGAAATGAGAGATTGGTGGGATAGTGCCCTTTTGAAAAAATATGTGGATAATAAATTTATCCCAAGAGGCCTCAGATTTGACAAACAACCATTCTTTAATGATAATACCCCTCTAGAACAGGAATGGTTGAGTGCCCTTGATACATGCTCTTTTGTACTGATAGATATCCTCATTAGATATAGAGAGTCGAGGCTCCTTGTTACCGAAAAGAAAATTCAGGACCTTCAGGAAAGGATTAGCTCTACTCAGCAGCAATCCACTATTATCGCAAAGTTGGATGAAGACATCAATCTAAAACTGATTAGTTTTGAGAAAGATCTTATAACGCATAAGAGCAAGAAATTTCATAGGGATAAACTTGACTATCGAAATGAACAGATTAGGAGTTGGCAAAGGAAACGTGGCTTTAAGTCCATTTCATATAAGAAAGGCCCGTTTGTACCATCATCAAAATATGCTAAATCACAACATTCTCATCCATCCTTTGAAGGTAATCAGAGACATAAGTCTAGCTCTTATGCGGATGTAGTTAAATTCTCCCAAAATGGTAACCTGACCCCCTCTACCTCGTATAGAGCCAAATCTGGCTATAAAAGAATTAACCATCCCCCACCCCCACGTGATAAAGGTGAATTTTTTGATTCCAACTATACCTCACTGGGGAGTAACCCCCACTGTAACAGTAGGGAGAGGGAGGGGAAAAAGGAAAAAGAAAAAAGGGGGGTTGATTCATCTTGTGATCTAGGTGCGAAATTTAAACATACTGCTCCTGGAAAAAACAATAGTTACAGTATTTGTGATGATTTTTTAGAGTCAGTCCCCCCTCAAACAAGAGAGGAGAGAACTTTTCCTCTCTTCAAAAATACGAACAACAAAAAGAGAAGGGGGGTACCCATAGAGGAACGAGAGGAAGGGGGAAACAGCCCGGCCAAAATGAGATGTCTTTAATGAGAGGTCTATTTAATTTGTCTCATCATACCCTAAATATGGGGGAGATCTCCCTATTGAGTAAAGGACTTAAATATGCCCCGGATAGACTACCCAACATCATTGATTTATTTAAAGATCTTAATCATTTCGTTAAGAAATTAACGGTTTTAAGATCATTTAACATCAGGGAGTCTAAGGGTCCAGAAGATTGTCCTAAGATTTTTAATACCCCACAGGATAAAATAATTTTCTATAATTTAATTTCTTTATTGGATGAACAAGAGAACCTCTCACAGCAGTGTGAGGATGTGCCAAATATAATAGAGGCTAATATTCCATCTGGATTTAAACCTCCCTCTATGTTTTATCCCCAGGTGGATAAAGGTCCCTACATTCAAATGTTTTATGAACTGGTTCTGAAGGATTTGAGAGCCCTTTGTGAGACTCTCAAAACGAAGAGGGACCGAGTGTGTAATAATTTGGATAAATCAGAATTAGCGGCCATTACTAGCTTGAAAGCCAATTGTAACCTTATCATAAAAGGAGTGGATAAGGGAGGGGGGATTGTCTTGTTGGATAGAGTTGATTATCTTAAGGAAGCTGAGAGGATTTTGGAAAATAGAGACTATTATGAGGTTTTAAGACATGATCCTACCTTACGATTCAGGGGTGAATTGAGAGACCTCATAGAATCGGCTTTTCTGATTGGGGTCATAGACAAAAAAGAAAGAAGTTTCTTCCTCACAACACAGGGAGAGATCCCCATTTTCTATTACCTCCCAAAGGTGCATAAATCTCTCACTAATCCTCCAGGTCGCCCGATAATATCGGGTTTAAACTCACTGATTTCACCCATTTCTAAGTGGGTTGATTTTCATTTACAGAGATATGTTCCACATCTCCCCTCTTTTCTAAAGGATACAGGACATATGTTGTCCCTAATTAAGGAGATTGAGTGGTCAGAACAGTATGGCTGGCTAACAATTGATGTGGCAGCCCTCTATTCCAATATTGATCACACCTTGGGCCTAAAAGCCATCTCCCTATATTTACAATCAGATCCTCTCCTTCCAGTAAAACAGTCAGAATTCATTATTAAATTTACGGAATTTATGTTAAAACATAATTATTTTGAGTTTAGTGGGAAGTTTTTTGTACAGACAAAGGGAAATGCGATGGGGGCGAGTTTTGCTCCATCCTATGCTAATTTATTTATGGGTCACTGGGAACAAATTATGATTTTCGCAAACCCTTACTGGATGGAGCGACTCGCCTTCTATCGGAGGTTTATTGATGATATCATTATTATTTGGAGAGGTGATTGGAATGAAGTAGAAAGCTTCATGACTTATATCAATAATTACCAATGGGGCCTCTCTTTTACTTATAAGAAACATAGGTCTTCTATTGATTTCTTAGACCTGACTTTGACTGGGACTAAAGGAAGAATTACTACTAAAACTTTTCAAAAGAGTGTCGATGTGAATGGTTATCTACATGCTAGAAGTGGCCATCATCCTACATGGATACAAAATATACCTTTAGGACAATTCACTAGAATCAGACGAAATTGTTCGTTCATGTCTGACTATGAGAAAGAGTCCCTTGTGTTATGCCAACGCTTTATTGAAAAATCTTATCCTCCAAATAAGGTATTAAATGCGTATTTAAAAGGGCACAATTATAAGGTTAATGCTCCACTTGGGAACTGTTCTATGGGTCCTTCTAGTAAGATTAATCCCCTCCCAACTGTGTATTCTGAATATGAGCCCAATACCTATGAGCATCATATGATCCTAGATCTACTGGATAATACTCATGTCCCCAAGATGAAGAAAGCAAAATATAATATCAGCACAAGAGAGGTGGGTAGAGGCACAACACCCATCTTTACATCTACATTTAATATAGCTTTTGATGACATTATTGGGATTTTCTATAAGTATTGGCCGATTTTGACTAAAGATCCCTGGCTATCCTTTTGCATTTCAGAATTCCCTAGGATCACATTCAGGAAAGCTCCCAGCCTGAAAAATATTCTAGCTCCCTCTAAGTTACAACACTCCAATGAAAGAAGAACGAGAGCGAAGAAAGAGGGTCTAATTAACAAACGTTGTGGCCATACTAAATGTCTCACCTGTGGCTATATTTGCCATCTCGTTTCAAGTTTTAGCCCTTATAATAGCTCTGAGGTATTTTCAGTGCAATCTGAAATTACCTGTAACACTTCATTTGTAGTATACCTCTTAATCTGCCCGTGTGATCGGCAATATGTGGGCCAAACTACTAGGCCCTTGAAGTGCAGGTTTCGAGAACATAGAACGGCTATAATTCGTTATAATACTAAGTCGTCAGTAGCCCAACATTTTGCTATGTACCATGAAAAGAATCCCTCAGGTCTTAAGTTAATGGGGTTAACACATATTCCTCCACACCAGGATGGAGCAGTAAGAAAAGGGGAACTAATAAAGTCTGAGTCCATGTGGATTTTTAAGCTAAATACTATGACACCTAACGGCTTGAATGAAGAGCTAGATTTATTCTAAATATTTTTTATTTTTGTTTTGTTTTATGTTATAATACACTTTATGATAGTGTCTGCATTTTTATGTTATTTTTGGGGTTTACTTTGTATATGTTTTTAATATAAAACATTCTGTGTTTTTTCTCTCTAATTTTTAATATTTATTATTTCTTATTATTATTTTTCAGTTCTACATATTCATTTTTTATGGTGGTTGAAATGGAAAAATCAATTAAAGTATTGATTATTTCTTTGTGTATCTGCCCCTGGCCAAATCAATGAAACAATGCGTGCACGCTCCCTGAAGTAATTCACACCAGACACAGGTTCTAGGTTGTTGAATAACTTGAGGAAAGTTTATTCAGAGGGGACGGCAGGTCCCTTTTAAAGCAAAATTACATCATAAGCATTGTCAGAGATAACATGGAATAATACATCAATAATTGGTTAAGTGTTAAGTGTTTTATTCAAAGCACGTCCTACAGGGTGTGCCTTCTTATGTCATTACTGTCGTCATGGAGTTCTCCCCCAGGATTCCAGTGCCATCTTGAAAATTAGAGTGTTTGGTCGATGGGTGGGGTACTCCTGAGTGACATCTAGTGGTCAGTTTAGTAATTTATTGAATAATATTAAGTATAACTAAATGAAGTAAATAGACATTTTACTAGCTAAAAATATGTCAATATTTCATGTCACCAGGTCCATGAGGGTCTCCCACGGTTTCCCGGCGCCATCTTGCTGCACGAGGTAGTTAGTCGGTGTTTAAAGGGGCAGGGGGAGGAAGGGGTTAGAAGCTTCTAGCAGCCATTTTGATTAAACATGTGTGCTTAACTCTATAGCATAGTGTGAGATGAGTAAATAGACATTTTCCTTTAACTAGGAAATATGTGTAGACCTTATTTCCACAACAGTCCCCCCTAAAATGGCTATTTACCATAACAACTGCTACTGTCCCTAATATATCCCTAATGATATGCTCCTAATCTATCTCAGTAGGCATCGAACACTTCACTCCGTGGGTAACCCGCAGCGGCTAATCCACTACATCTCCACACGTGAGACTCGCCTGCCAAGACAGATGCTTTCCCTATACTATCCCTACAGGAAAGCAGTTGTCTGTTTGAACTGATGTGCTTGAAGGGGTGTATGTGGTGTGTCATCTTCGAGGTCTGTGACGTCCTGATGTAGGAAAGTAGGGGTCACGTCAACTATAGTCTTATCTACTGCTTTTTGTAAGTACTTCTGTATGCAAGGGAGTACGCAACAGGTTAGAAATAAGAAAATGATGATCATTATAAGAACAGCTGTCCCTACCTGGAAGAGGGTCCTTTGCCAACCATTCATCCATCCAAACCATCTGTCCCAAGTGTCAGTGACTCCTGAATTTTTCTTTAGCTCGTCTGCAAGACTATCTAGCTTCTCTATGGCCATAGTCACCTTACCATTGGGCCCAGTGTTGTCTGGAATGTATGTGCAACATGTCATGGTCTCAGGGAGGATTTTACATACACCCCCTTTCTCAGCTAAAATCATATCTAGGGCCATTCTGTTCTGAAATGTAATTTGGGTAGTGGCTTGTAATTGCTCTGCCAGGCCCTGTAGGGCATCCCTAGTGTAGTTGACAAAGCGCTGTTGATTATAGTAAATGTAGTTAATCCAATTGACATTTTTGTTAGAAGTTATCATTGGAATTAGGGATTCAAATCCTGCAGCCACTTCATCTCTTGCTTTGTATTCTTTAGGCACCCCCCTTGGCACACCTATGGCATCAATATACACATGGGGGTCAAAGCTCCCTCGGATAGGAGCCCCTCGTTTGGTTCTAGAGTGTACATGTGTAAGGTTTAACGTGTTATGACTACCATCTGGAATAATGTGGATAGGCATTATGACTTTGGTTAGGGCACACTCCCCCCACCACTGCTCAGCTAATTGGGACCTCAATTGTCTGTCACCACATAACCAATAGATATCTCCAATGGTCTTTGCATGATTTATTAGCAGTGACACAGGTGGGCTATGGTAGGTTGAGCAATATCCAGATGGGAATCTGCCCAGATACACACCAGTATTCTTAGGTATAGCATAACATGTGTAATTACCTGGATACACGGTGACTCCATCAGGTGGCTTGACATATCCATGAGTGATTGGGTAAACCCTTTTCCATGATTCACATGTTGAGGAGTTGGTGGTGGATTGTGCATAAAGACTCAGAACACATAATTCTACTTCAGGAGGTAGGCTTAGAGGTACTGTGCCCAGATGGGGCCTGGCTCCTCCACATACATAACAGTTAGTCTTATTATGTGAGTTGGCGTTATATCTCATCCATTCTAGCCACAAATTAGTGTCTGAAAACCCAGTCTCTACTGTCATAGTGTCTTCAAAGGTGGGATTGGCTATAGCTACCATGTCATGTAGAGTCTTAATATGTGGTTTTAACGTGTTAATAGTCATGTGAGTGGTTCCTACCCAGTCTGGTGAGGTGAGCCTTTTTGCTAGGTATGTCTTTGTATATGGCTGCATATTGTGTTTGTGGAAAAGGTGCAAACAACTATGTCACAGTAATCAAAGGTGTATGTAGCTACATCTGTGTTAGAAGAATTGTACCAGAAAAGTGTAAACATGATTATCTTTGGTTATGGCCACTTGTTGGGCCCAGGTAAAGTGTAGCAGCATAAGAAAACACAAGACACATAATAAATTCATATTTCAGCAAGATTAGCCTCTTCTGGAGCAGGCACTTTTTTGCAATGTGAGGCGTGTATAAGAACTCTTCCCGGCTAGTTTAACTGACGTTGCTGTAATCAGGAGCACTTGATATGGGCCATCAAATCTTGGTTCCAGGGTGTGTTTCCTGAGAAACTTCTTGACCATAACCCAATCACCAGGAAGCAGCTTGTGTGTACCTGTATTTGACTCAGGATCTGGAATAGAAGAAAACACTTGGGCATGTATTTTGGTCAAGGCATGTGAGAGGGCAGTCACATAGTCTACCATAGCATCTGACTGAATCTGAAGCTGTTGGGGAAAGTAACAACCTAACCTGGGTGCTGTACCAAACAAAATCTCATAAGGTGATAGGCTATATTTTCCCCTAGGAGTGTACCTTACACTAAACAACGCTAATGGGAGACTCTCGGGCCAGGGCATGTTAGTTTCTTGTGACATTTGAAGCATTCTGGCTTTCAAAGTGCCATTCATGCGCTCTACCTTACCACTACTCTGTGGGTGATATGGTGTGTGGAATGCAAGGGTCACCCCCAGTGCTGGCCAGACTTCCCGTGTTAGCGAGGCAGTGAAGGAGGTCCCTTGGTCACTTTCAATTACTTCTGGAACTCCATAGCGGCAAACAATTTCTGTCAAGAGATACTTGGCTGTAGTCCTCGCGGTGAGATTAGTCACTGGGAAGGCCTCTGGCCATCCTGAAAACATGTCCACTATGACCAATGCATATTCATAACGTCCACTCTTTGGCATCTGAATGTGATCAATCTGGATCCTCTGGAAGGGGTATTGTGGTTTAGCTAGATGATTAGGTGCAGTCTTTATAATCTTTCCAGGATTGCATTTAGCACATATAGTACAAGATTTACAGTAATTCTGTGTTCAGGTAGTGATGCCTGGTGCTTCAAAATACTTGTCAATCAATGAGTTCATCAGATGTTTTGACAGGTGGGCTGGCCCATGGGCCCATTGGACCACCGCTGGATACATATTTCTGGGTAGGCAAAACTTGAGATTGATAGTGTAAACATCATCACGGAGTACAGCTCCTTTGTTCTTCCAACTTTGTTTCTCCTGGGGAGTAGCAGCAGCTCGTTGTTCCTTTAGAAGCCTAAGATCCGTAGGCAGTGTCTGCATAGTGTAGATGGGTACTGCATCTGTGGCCACTCTTCTGTCCACTTCCCATCCTTGTCGTGCTGCTTCCTTAGCGGCCTGATCAGCTAAGTGGGGAAATATCAGGGTCACAGTCTATGATGAGTGGGTCCTCATGGACGTCTGTGTGGTACCTAGGGTACCCTGCTGTACAGTTGTTAATAGTCTTTTTGCTGGTCCCCATAGAAGTCAGTTGTTCTTGGTTCATTTGACTCCAGGTCTTGGCCATCGGGCCTAGGTCTTTCCATGAGGTGTCAGAGGATCTGGTGAGAGATATGTGTGGGATAGCTGTTTCCCAATGATGGTAGAGATGTGTCATGTTCTCTGGAAGATGGACTAAGATGAGCATGGTACCTGTGGGGTCCCATAACAAGTCAGTCAGGGTAATTGGAATTTCCTTGAGCTGGAATAATTCTTCCTCATAGTTCATATCAGGGCCTGGTCTGTCTTTAAACCATAAGGTGCAGTGAAGTAGGGCCTCTGATTGTTCATTATGTGGGGGTGCAAGTGCAGGCAGCTGCAAATCTGCTCAAACCTCTGGGTTGATGTCCAGGCTATACCAGTAATGCACAATTCCCCCCTTGGGAAGTGGCAGAAGAGTGGCCGGGTTCAGGGAGAGACATCGCTGAAGTTCCACATTGTCAGGTTACAGTAAGGATGTTTGTAGACGAAGGTAACGTTGAGAAGAAAGGTGCTTAGGTTGAGTTTGTTGCAGGATTGCAGTAATGTCATGAGGGGCCAACACTGTGAGGTGGTGGCCAAGAACAAATCATTGGTCTTGTCCAGGAGGGCGCTGGCGGCAAACACCGCTCTGAGGCAAAAGGGACTACCTCTCGCAACAGGGTCAAGCATGCAGGAAAAATAGCCAATAGGTCGTTGTCTTGATCCATGTTTCTGGGTGAGGACTCCGGAAGCATGTCCTGATTTTTCAGAGACAAACAGATTGAAAGGAAGTTGGTAGTTGGGTAGGCCCAAGGCAGGTGCAGAAGCAATAGCTCTTTTCAGATTGTGGAAACAGATGATAGTTTCTTCAGTGAGGTGAAAGGGCTCACTCCTGAGGGCATCATAGAGTGGCTGCATGAGCTTTGATGCTTCGGGTATCCAGGACCTGCAGTATGTGATAAGACCCAAGAAGGCATGAAGAGTCTGATGTGTTGCAGGTAATTGGAGTTGCAAAATAGCTTGTACACGCTGAGAAGTTAGATGTCTGGTGCCATGGGAAAGACAATGTCCCAAGAAGACCACAGAGGGCCGGCACCATTGCAGCTTGGATTTGGAAGTTTTGCAACCTGCAGCAGCGAGGAAACATAGGAGATCTTCTGAGTCACGCTCTGCAATAAGCAAATTAGGAGCACAGAGAAGGAGGTCATCAACATATTGAAGTAGAATAACATCCAGATGAGTATGGGGGTTTGGAACAATAGCAGTGTCCTTTATGGTTACTTCATTAACAGCACGGAGGTCCTGTACCATGCGGTACTGGTCGGGTTGGCCCTTAACAGTTCGCTTTTTAACAGGGAAAAGTGGGGTGTTGTATGGAGATGTGCACTTGGTGAGGGCACCTTTGGCAAGCAGAGACTCAACTTGTTTGGTGATGGTTTCAGCTTGTGGTGACTTCAGAGGATACTGAGGTCTACGAAGAGGAAGTGCTCCAGGCAGGAGCTGGACCAGGACGGGGGGGTACATGTAAGCGTCCAATATCATCCGGGCCGGTGGACCAAAGTTCTTGGGGGATACGATCCAGAGCACTGGGGGGGGGGGTGTGACCCGTGCACTCCCTGTATTGTCAGTTAGGTTCAACAAGATGGGGAGTGAGCAGAGTACAGTGGTGTCTGACTGTGATAAGGGTGTAGTTAACTGGACCCTGGAGCCGAGAAGGAACATCAGCACCCAAGAGGTTAATGGGACAAGTAGAAGAAACAACAAAACGTGAGAGTATGTGTGAACCAACATGCAGGAGTGTAGGGAGGGGGCTACTGCGGGGTGTACCATCCACCCCAACACAGGAGACATCGGTGTCTGACAAAAAGGAGGGGTCATGGCAGGGGTTGCTGACACAGGCTTGCCGGTAACCCATTGCAGTAAATCTAAATGGGCCTGGTCGGGTCCTTGGTACCGGCGGGTAGAAGTGGGAGGGTGGCTGGACTGCATAGGAGCACGGGCGAGGCGGCTTTGTCGAGGTAGGGGCTGAATATCTCGGAAACCACCCGTGTCAAACCCATCAGCATGAGCTGGAGGGTATGCACGGGCCTCTAAAGCAGGGGGCCGGCTGGGATGGGCGTGATAGGTGAGTATTAAGGACGTGAGCAAGGGCAGAGATTGGATCGGAAGGCTCGGGGACGTTAGCCGGGGGTGGAGAAGGGGTTGGAGGATCAGAGGGAGGAGGTGGAGGAGGAGGAGGTAAATCAGTGGGAGGCGGGGCAGGAATCGCGGAATTAACCAGGGAGGTAACAGCAGAGAAGAGGGCAGATATCGAGCTAGACAGGTCATTGGCCATGGTTGAGTCAGGGGTCACCGGGGGAGGGGTCGGAGGGATGGGAACAGGGGGCTGGGTCGCAACAGCGTGGGTAGAGGGTTGGGACGGCAAATCAGCCGGGAGGGGAGGAGGCAACGAGGTAGAGGGGACCGGGATATCGGGAGGGGGGTACCACTGGAGAAGGGGTCGGAGGGGTGGGAACGGGGGGGGGCTGGGTCAGGGCAGTGAGGGCAGAGATTAGGGACGGCAAATCAGCCGAGAGGGGAGAGCGGGGCAAATCAGCCGAGAGGGGAGGAGGCAACGAGGTAGAGGGGACCGGGGAGGCATAAGGGAAGCGGGATCAGCGGGAGGACAAGGGTCTGGAGGATCTGGGGCGGTGGGGTGAGTAAGGTCGAGAGGGCAGAGAGCGGGGCAGCGGATGGAGACGGGTGAGTGGGTAACACTGGGGAGGGGTCAGTCGAGGTGGAGAGGGGACGAGAGGCAAGCATAGGTAAAGGTGGCGGGGGACAGGGAGGCGGAGGAATGTCATTTAACGTAAAGGATGTTACTGTAAACATACGATTTTTAACTAGCAAGATTCTATTAAGTAAAGATACAATGTTTAAAATAACTTGCATTATTTTGCAATATCCCTTGTTGCAAGACACAGGCATTAATGAATAATCATCAGGATAATTAGCTGTAATGCTCTTATATTCGTGCCCAACAGAACTCATTTGTAGGTCACACCACAGGTGCAAATGACTCTTTAGCAACCTCTTTTTTTTTTTTTTTTTTTAAATATCACGGACACATCTCTGATACAGGGAAACAAATGGCATGATTGTTTTAGTTAATATAACGTTTCAGTTCATAATATGTAGAGTGTAATGTCTCTAAATAGGACGAGCATGATAGGGGTAGGCCTCATGATGGAGGCAGCCATGACAGGGGCGGGGAAGGAAATGACAGCAAGGGAGGAAGTGTGGTGACGTCCATGATAGGTGTGGGAAAGGAAGACAGGAGGTGTGGGCATGGTAAGGGCGGAAGTGACGTTACTTTAGAAGCAACCGTGACTGTAGATAGGTCACGGGACTTTCAGGGTCAACCTGCTTCTGTACTAGGCGCCATCTTTAGGGTGGTGGCTGACGTCACTTTCAACAATACACCATATTATAACTAATAAAATAAGTCAGAGAAGCAACATTCCGTTCTGCAAAATGAAATATTAAACTATGAACAGACCTGGCAGGTTAAATAAGACAGTTGAGAACATTATGCATTTAACAGCCCATAAAGCTATCCATTGAAAAAATGTACTTTAACATGAAGCAAGATAAACTCACGGAATTCAACCAATTTCCCTTAACATCCTCTAACCATTAATCACTTTCCTCCTCTTATACAGACATAACAACATCGCATATTCCCCTTAACAAGCTACAAGCTACACCTTCCTAAATCCCGTATTCAACACTGAATGCAATCTTGTGAGCTCGTCACTCCCACAATCCTCAGTACCTTATCTCAAAAATTAATTTAAAAATATATATAGCACTACGGAATCTGTTGGCGCCATGCAAATGGCAACAATAATAATAATATTACACAATTATAGCTCCATAACCTGCCTGACAACGTCTATGTATGGAACAATGTACACAATACTACACAATTAGAATATTTTCTCTAACTCTTATCAGTAGCTCCGAAATGCAGAAATGTAGGCAAGCGGGGAGTAGGGGTGGGAGAAAGTGTGACAGTGCAAAAAGGAGAGAGAGAGAGACTGCAGGCATGAAGATTAACCATGTGAGCTCCGTAAAGTAACAAGACAGAAGGACAGAGATTTATACGTTTGGAAACCAGAAATCTTTGCTAACTTTCTCATTTTCAGCATAGCTTCTTCCCCTGCCCTCTCTTTAACAATATCACAAGCCAAATACCCCTTAGCTGGTCTAGTATGTGCTTGCCCCTTTTTGACCAAGCGAGGTCTGCCAAGTAAAGGAGACCAAGTGAGAGGGAAGAAGAAGTAGGAAAGTCTACAGTGCTCGACTGACTAGTCACGATGGTCTGTGCACCAGGGGGAGGTGGCCACAGACCGGAGGGGGCGAGCGTGGGTGACTAACACAGCTCTGGGCAACAAACACAGGAGAGATAAAGGACAAATGAAAAGATGAAAGTGGTTACACTAACAAGAAGACATTTGCAAAAATCACAAACATAGAGATGAGTGTAAACCCCAGAATCCAGAACTAGCCACACTATATACATACACACACACACACACCAAGGGTACCCACACTGTAACAACAATTAAACAAAGAACCACAGAATGACAGAGAGTAAAATAGCCATGTACATGTTAATGACACCGGTGCCAAATAATCGAAGTATAGCAATCCTCAGCCTTCACCCACCAGGCTGGTCCCAGTATAACACAGGTACTAATGAGAGCACAGTAATAAACAAACAAAATCCCAGCCCCACCGGCTGTAATGCGTTCCCTGCCCGCTAGGCAGTCAAGCAAACTTAAAATCCCAGCCCCACCGGCTGTAAAATCCCAGCCCCACCGGCTGTAAAATCCCAGCCCCACCGGCTGTAAAATCCCAGCCCCACCGGCTGTAATGCGTCCCCTGCCCGCTAGGCAGTCAAGCTAACTTAAAATCCCAGCCCCACCGGCTGTAAAATCCCAGCCCCACCGGCTGTAAAATCCCAGCCCCACCGGCTGTAAAATCCCAGCCCCACCGGCTGTAAAATCCCAGCCCCACCGGCTGTAATGCGTCCCCTGCCCTCTAGGCAGTCAAGCTATTGTCTTTTAAAAAGGGGGAAAACACCCACTCCGGCCGTCACACACATTCAAACAAATACAGGAGGCAGATAGACAATCGACAGGTTCACTTTAAAAAGGCACCCCGGATGAGCTAAATACCTGTCTCTAGTAGCCTTCTGGAAGCCGGAAGTGGACTCGGAGACAGACCGACACAAAACAGGAGAATAACACAGGCAACGGCTGTATTATGGAGGTGATCAGGCTCCGCTTGTCCCATTTTCTGGGGGTCCGCTCTGGTCCTTGGTATCCGGCCCTCCGAACCGGCAAATCCGGGGGCCCCACGTTGTGGCGCCAATTGAAATGGAAAAATCAATTAAAGTATTGATTATTTCTTTGTGTATCTGCCCCTGGCCAAATCAATGAAACAATGCGTGCACGCTCCCTGAAGTAATTCACACCAGACACAGGTTCTAGGTTGCTGAATAACTTGAGGAAAGTTTATTCAGA